GAATTGGTTCAACAACACTGCGACTTTCCACTGTGCCACATGTAACACTTGGAAGCAAAGGGGTGAATGCAAAGTAATTTCTTGGAGATATCACTTGGACATCATATGAAGGATCCTTCAGATTCTTCAAGAAACTGGTTCCAGCCCAACCAGTTCCAAGGACAACAACTTTCTTTTTTCTGTTGTTGGCCCCAACCAATTCTCCAGAATTTGAATTGTCATTCAATTTTCCTGCCTCAGAGTATGCCACAAGACCTCCACCACTATCATTTATATGAAAGGGTCAGAATAGAGGAAACTCACTTCACAGATAACATAATGGGCTGCAGTAGAAAAGTATCCATGAAGGTAGTAGGATGGAGAAAAACTAATGCCCCTAGGTAATTTTTGGAAAAAACAAGAAGGCAGACCAAGTTCAAAAAGAAATAACAATGATAATAAACTACACGCCTATGAAGCACTAGCAATGAAAGTATTCTACTCTACATGCGCTAACTGCATCATTATATTGCTCCTAAAGATATATCTTCTACTCGAGCATAGATGACAAGAAAACTTGCTTAGAAATATCACATATATAAGGCGTAATAAGTAGAGAATAATCAAATAGCGCAATTTTGTAGCACTTCTATACAAAAGGATTCCAAACGGATGTACTAAAGAGACATGCCATATTTACTGATTTTAGTACAGTAGGGAGGGAGCTTAAGCCTAGCATATATCTCATCTTATGTACCCTTGCAGCCTCAGTCCTCAGCTATCTGCATTTCACTGCCACTTCCCCTTTCTATATCCTATATTCATCTTTGATTTACAAGTCTCTATAGTAAAACATTTAGCATTCCCCATGCCGAAAAGAACTACACAACAACATCTTATTGCCCAATCATGAAGTATTAATCATCTGATCTTACAGCAATCCTGATTCAAAATGCCTTTACTATTGAATTAAACCCATAATTAAGTTACAATAAACTTGTACGTAGGAATTAGGATTGCAGGACTCTGCTTACTTCTAATTCGATCATCAAGGCAATGCAATAACTGAAACAGAGCAAAGGCAGAGGTACTTGCTCTGCAATCCATACCCAGTAATATGACTATGAGTAAATAGTAGAGTAGAAAACTATTAAATTAGGATTAATACGTAGAAGTATGTCGAATTACTGTAAAAACATCAATGTACTTAGCAGGTAGAACATTTCATCAACACCGCAAACATTTACAATTTTAGTTAGCAGATCTGAAAATAGTTATATCTAGAAACTACTTGACCATACTACAACTTCATGTCATAAGTAACCAACACCTTATTCCTTCACATATAAATTCAACACAGCTTTCATATCATCAACAACAAGCATCTATAGGTTTTGTTTGTTTGTTTTGTTTTTCCCCAGAAGCTAGAAATCAGAAAACTAAATGAAACAAACTAGTTATTCATCAAATTGAAATATGTAACCATAGCCAAATTTAAGGAAAAAGATATACCTAACAGTGAAAACAATGAGGAGCTTAGAAAGGGAAGGATTATCACGGAATGTTTTAGAAAATCTCTCAATCACCGTTACTCTCTGCATTTTGCGTTCAACTTACGCGATCTCACCTAGCAGCCTTCTCTTCAATCTATCGATAGAAATTAAAATCCATTAATTCTCCATAAACTTAAACAGTTTTATCACTACTGCTACAAAACTTCATAAATATCACCTTAAATTCCTTCAGGAGCAATAGAAATCAAAATAATCAACGAATTCTTATAAAACTATATACCTGAGAGACTTGCTGTTGCGAACGTGGCGTGAGTTGTTGAAAGAGAATATGAAGATGGAGTTAAGGCTTTTTTTTCCCCTAAGAAATGGGAATGTGAAGAGTTAAAATGAGATGAAAGTTCTAATACTTTCCAGCTTAGAGCAGCGCTGGTCTTTGCTTAACGTGTCGCCCAAGAATTAGACACATGTATTTTGGAAGGTTAAGCGCATTTTTGCTCTGTTGTCTCCGTCAAAAGTCAGCACGTTCCAACTTGGACCTTCCGTCCTTCCTTCCCACTATTATTTTTAACAAAAAATTATCTTCCTTCCGTCTTAAATTATATGTTGTATTTTTTAAAATAACAATTGATATGATTATTTAATACGCAACATCTAACGCGATTGGTAGAAAAATAGCGTTGAATCATGGAAAGCACATGAGAGCGGCTCTCACCGTCATAAGGCCGTGAAAGTTGCGTTTAATTGGCATGCTTTTTAGAGATTTGATTTGGAAAGGAAAAGCCGTGAAGAATGCGAATATCACCGACTGGTTAGGTTGGCTTCTCGTCTCATTTGACGGCTACCACACTTGATCTAATAGTACTTTAATCAATTTCTTATTTGTGTGGGAAGCTCCTTTTTTAATTATTTAAATAAAAGTTAGGTTCATGTATTCATGAGTCATGACGCCAGCTTGGAGAATTTTAGATTCAAAGTTTAATAAAAGGCAAAATCAGATTTGGGGTTCCTAAGATCTAGGTGATGAAGTGATTACAGTCATGTTCTAGAAAGAAGAGAGTTTGGGTTTTTCTAACCTGTCTTAATTCAATATTCCATCCGTTCAACGATAGTTGTATATTAAAAGTAATTGTCCAATAATATTTATCTAATTTAGAAAATCAAGAGAAAATTATATTATTTTATTCTTGCTATTAAAGAATACTACTATTTATCATTTAACACATTTCTTAAAACATTAAATTTAAAAAGTCAAAAGATAAAATAGTAATATTACCTCTATTATTTTTCTTAAGGGGTATGTCAAGTCAATATTGGACAAATGGAGTATTAGATTTGATAAATTAGTATTTTAAACATTTCCAAAGAAGGGCATAGGATGGATGATAATTTACAAAAGAATACTTGACCAAATTAAATTAAAACAAAAGAAAAAAAGAAAATGTGAGCTAGTGGGCAGTGGGTACCTCAACATTTCTATTTGCTTCTTCAACTTTATTCGATAAAAAAAAAAAGACAAAAATGCTATTCCTTCGTTCAGTACCATATTATTTCTATTTTATTTTGTATCACACACTTTTTTTTATTCATTCCAAAAAGATTGGTAAATTTATATATTTAAAGACTCTGCAAATTTATCATTTTCATTTTATCATTAATTAAAGATATTACATTTTCTAGAAAGTCATGACGCATTTAAGATGATAAAATTTTTAAAAAATATTAAAAATACGATTGAAAATATTACACTTTTACAAGTTTCACACCTTAACTATTTGTTGTTCCTTTTTTCTACTTGACCACTAACTGAATAGTTAATAATTAAAATACAAAACTCGAAAAAGAATAACTCAAATATATTTTGATCGTCAACTTTTCAAAAAGTATTTTAATACGTTACACATATTTAGCTATGAGTCCAAACTCCAAGTGTTATTATCATTTTTTAAGCTTCATGGAAGGAGTGAGAGTTGTCCAAGTTGACCTAAATTGGATATACTGTGCAAACAGGTCAACCCGGCCCAACTAAATAAGGAAACTTGGGCTTGGAGAACAAAAGTAGCTCATGAATCGGAGACCTATCGACTTATAACTCTAGTACTTTAGCCTATTGCGAGTTATAGCATTTTTTACTTATTAAATTGTTAAGTAAACATAGAAGGACATTTTCTTGAGAATTAAATAGTAACAATCATTGTAAGAATTAGACAGAAATGACATCATTTGATAGTGATAGCAAGGAGTGTCTAACCTAGCAATATACTATTGCATATGATATTATTAGTAGTTAGAAATAACCATATAATGATCTGAGTTAAGTTTTGATGATTACAAAAAAAAATGATACTCCCTCCGTCCCTTTTTAGTTGTCCACTTTAGAAATGGCACACAGATTAAGGCAACAATGATTAGCATAGTGAAGTTACAATTTTACCCTTATGACAACTTTTCACTTCAAAATTACAACCACTTATTTGAATTCTAGTGAAATAAATTGGAGGGAAACAACATACACTTTTACAATTTTCAAGAAGTGTAAATAAGGGTATAATAGGAAAAAATTTGTTGTCCTTTCTTGATTTGTCAAAATGGACAACTAAATAGGGACAACTAAAAAAGGAAATATGGACAAGTAAATAGGGACGGAGGGAGTAATTTTTTTCGTATTAATAATATCTTTCTCTTTTGCATCAAATACTTGAGTATTATTTTGAGATATATTTTGTTTAGATTTTACTGGCAAATATCCCCATAGATTAATATTTCATATGTCCAACAATAGTTGTTCACTTTTGACTTGACATACATCTTAAGAAATAATAAATAATCTTTTGAATATGTTAAATTTAATACATTGAGAAATGTATTAGATATTAAATAGACTTAATAGCAAGAATAAAATAGAAATAAAAGGATAAATTATTTATTGATTTTCTAAACTGGACAAACATTGTCAAACGACTATTTTTAATATAGTAGACAAATAAAAATGAACAGAGAGAGTAATTCATATATATACCCTTTAGAAAACTACTTTACTCAACTCAATTCCTAACCATAAAAATGGAAAAGCAAAAACGAAGAAATGAATTAAAGTAACCTTTTTCTAGTCAAATCCCTTTCATTCAAAAATCTCATGAACTTTCTTAAAGTTGCAACTTTTGAAAATTCACATGCCATTTCTTTCGGCAAAGTCCAACTGTATGAGAGGGAAAAGATGACAAAACTTTATACGAATCTTCTCCAAATGAATAAAGGGTTTAATTTGTAGAAAAAATAAAACTTGTAAGGTCTTTTTGGTCATTTAACACATCAATAAATCATTAGGTTAAGGGCTTAATACACACTTTAATTACGCAAAACAACACACTAAACCTCTTTTTAGGCTTTTTTCTAAAATCAGAAAAGAAGTAAAAAACAGTGGAAAATGGAAAACCCCAAAAAAAGCCTTTTTTTTTTTTTTCTATCGTTAAAATTAGTTAATTATAGTTAACTAAAACCCAACACTATATTCCCGTCGGCGAGTTATCTCACCGGATAATACGCCGGGCTTAGATCAATCTCGATCAAATTCTCTTCCTCCACTTCGCTATTTCTTTTGCAATCCAATTCAATCTCTATCAACTCTTCTCTATCTTCGTCATCCCACTGAAAACACACATTCTCCGGCGAATCCCAGTTTCCGATGACCGGTGAATCCCCGTCCGACGAACTGTCCGTATCCGTTTCCGGATAGTACATCGATAATGAAGCATACTTCTCAATAACCCTCAACTCTTCGTCTCTCTTCTCCTCTGTATATTCCCCGTCTTCTTCTCCTTCATACGCTTCGTATATCACCTCCAATGGCGCCCTCACATTCCACTCCACAAAGCAGTCCCCATGAAACAGCCTCGATTCCGGTTCTAGAACCGAATCCTTTTCACAACTTGAGTCCACCCTGGATTCGTCGGCATGAAACATTCTCTGTTCCGAATCCGGTTCAAACACCGAATCCTTTTCACAATTGGAGGAGTCCACATTGGAATCAATCGGGTCCAGGTCCGGATCCGGGTCAAGCACCGAATCATTCTCACACTTGGTGCTATCACCAAAATCAGCCGAAATTTGTAAAGATAAGATCTCGGATTCGGGTTTTTTGTTCTTCTTCTGTGAAATTCTCTGAGCTGCACCGAGTCTGAGCAGAAAAAGTAACAGAACAGAGGTTGAAATGATGAGTGGAGAAGCAGCAATAGTTGGAAAATATATGAAAATGATAGTGTAGAGAGTAACAATGGTGGAGAATAGAGGATATTGGGAATCCATGGTGTTGTGAAGTGGTTCAGTGAGAATGCCTTTTTTATTTAGGTTGAATTTGCATTCATTGAATATGGAGAGGGAGACGGAGGATTTGATTTAATTTTGTTTTTGACCTTATATTTTCCAACATTTAATACGAAATTAAAGTGAATATGGGAAGAAGATCGACAAAAGAGAATGGGGTTTCCATTGGAGTGATTGAATGCAAATAGGCAATGCACTCGAAACACCGAATGAGAAATTAAAAATAAAAATTCCAATGCACTCGCTATAAATATGTAGTGCCGTATTTATATTTATTTAAGGAAGATAATAATGTAAAGGATCGGATTCGTCTCTTCTCATAATTCAGCATCGATGCTAATTTGTCTTTACGGTCGTCAGACTTTAAGACTTTACTTCGGGGGTGTTTGGTAGGAGAATAATTTTTTAAAATAAATAAATAAATGAGTTATTTATTTTTAGTATTTGGTAAATAAGTAAAATAAATAAATACTTCAAAGAGTATTTATATGTAAGCTAGCAAAATATTATGAGTGTCAGGTAAGGAGTGACGGTTCGAGGTTGAGGGAGATAGCATGGTCAATAGATGGCGGTTGGGGACGTTGAGTGGGCGGAGAGCAGATAATAAACTTTGAAGTTACCAACTTGTTTTCTCTATTTCCATTAGGATAATTATTTTTTTAAAGAATTTATTTTTCTAAAGAAATATTTTAAAAAAAATATTTTGACCTACCAAACATGCACATCCATAGTAAGGGCTTTAAGCATATCTGGTCGCGCCACAAAAAATAATTATAGTTATCAATTAAATATATAATAAAATGATACAAATATATATATATTAAGAACTTATTATTTTGATGGACAATATGTTGTATTAAAATCACTTCAAATAATGTAAGTTCATTATTTATTTATTACTACTATTCAAATGGAATTTCTGGCTCCCTTTTTCTAGTATTTGTACATGTGTGAGTCAAGTCAAATATGGTGGATGTAGTTACAATGATAACCATTACATTTTTGCAACACTAAATCTAAACCAAGTATTAATATATATTTCATAATTTTTTAAGGTCCTATAAACAAAAGAAAACTAAGTCGAAAACATTAAGTTTGTTCAACCTGAGAGCACAAAGGTACGTGTAAGTGACTTAGAAAAGATCAATAAAGGTTGTATTAGGGATGCGATTTTTTCCACTAGGGATCTTTGATTCGAGGTGTTGATAGAAAATCTATTTTAATTTAGTCAGAACGTTAATGCGTTTGAAAAGCCCAGAAAAAAAAATTCACATAAAAAAGGGGGAAAAGGAGGAAGTAGCTTTGTGGGGATGGGGTTAGTGGGTTTGATTTTCAAGAAAAGGAGTGAAGATTGTGGACACTTTGTAAAGTGAGGGGGTGTCTCTGTCTGTGGGGAAGAGAGAGTTAGGCATGAAATACTAATATCTAATAGTAAGAGTTAGGTGCCTTTCATATTCATGCTAATTAAACTTTAATTGAGATGACAAATCCTTGTTTGGATATATAGAGATTGATTACTTAATTCAATATTTCATCATGCTTTTAGAAGCCTAAATTGTTTTTTGTTATACTATTATTACTTAATTACTATACAAACATGAATGCAACTAAGTAATCAATGGTTGATACAGTACATCCCCCTGTTCAATTTGTTCTCATCTCCTTAAAATTATGGGAAATTAGAGTTGTTACTTTCTTGATTTCGACATCCACAAAGCCAATGATAACTTTGTAAAAGGTATTCATTATACAATGTATAATGCTTATTACATTTTATGACATGTCATCGTGATAATCATAAGATATTATGGCTTGTATTCAAGTAGATTCACATGTATCTGAAATACATAACAAATCTCTTTCATCTCGCTATCCATTCTTGTATGTATTTGGGATCCTGGATACATGTATCTAGCTAGTGTGTATCTAATAGTGTGATTCGCATGGATATGGGATACAAAACAAAATCTCGTTCACCTCTCTCTCTATATCTTGCTCACATCCCTCCTTATTTTAGTATATCTGGTAGCAAAAATACATGTATCTAAGTGTATCATTCTTAATACATAGTAGGAGACTCTTAATTATATTAGTGGTAAGATACGTAATATTTTAAAAGTATAAATAATAATAATAGTAGTATATGTGATAGCGAAGTATGTCTAATCACATAGTTTCTCCTTTTTAGTGTTTGATCGATAAGTTAGAAAACTAATATTATTCAAAGAATATTTTGTATGTAATCTAGCAAAATATTATGGAGGTGAAATGGGGTGACAAGTGGGGTTTGGGGGTGGCGATCATGGGGTTGAGCAGGTAGTAGGAAAGAGACGATGAAAATTTGAAATGTCAATTACGGAACATATTTTCCTACTTTTATTAGGAAAAAAATCATCCCTCATTTTTAAAGGATTTATTTTCCTACAGAAAAAAATATTTTGGCAAATTAAATATTAAAAATTGGAAAATTGTTCAACTTTCGAAAAAGGTATGTAACTTTTACGAGTTTTTAGCTAAAATCATCCCCCAAGTTTAACTTAAACTTGAAGTACATTCTTCTGTTACATAAGTGAAAAAAAAACATCCCTGCACTATCCAAAAAGTTGCAAGATTCATCCTTTTGTCTATTTTTTTTTTAAGAAATTCACGCCACCAACCAAAAAAAAATATGTCAAGTCGAATTAATATGTACACACATGGTTAAGCTAGTCAAGTTGATTAATTTTTTTTAATTTTTTTAATTTTTAGAATTGAGGATTTTAATCATATTCAGACAAAATATATTCAAATTCTAAATATTCTTTGTAAAAAATATTGCTAAATACAACTCCAACTTCAAAAATTTCAAATAAAGTAATTATTTTTTAATTTTTATTACTAAATGCCTACATACTTTCACTAAATTTTCGACATTTCTGTACGTTGTAAAAAATGTGAATTGTAGGGTATATAACGTACATACGTACTAAACATTTTATTAAAGAGTTGGGCATAATATTTTTAAAAATGAACTTTTTTATATAATCTTTCTAACTGTCGGAACCTACTGTATAAATATTTCAAGACTTATGTATTGTTGCAAGTTGATTTACTTGATGATGCAAAAGACGTATAAACTAACAACACACAAAATTTTAATTCTTAGAACGAAAGATTCATTTCCTATTCATATTCTTATTCTTTTTAGGTAATTTTGATCTTCTCATTGTGGCTAAGATATGACCAAATTTTAAAATATTTTTTTTTATTGGTTCAATCAATTTCTTAATAAAAATAGAATGAAGGATGATTCTTGTTATTTTTTGGATAGCATAAGAATGTTTTTTGCTCACTTAGATAATATAAGGATGTAATCTAAATCATAGTTGAGGAATGATTTTAGCCAAAAACTCTAACTTTTACTGTCTAATTACTCATGCACTTGTGTAGTTGTGCTGATGAAAGATTAGGAAGAAGACAACTACCAAATATTTGATGGAATGGGTAATATGCACACAAGTTAGTCCGTACACAATCACAATATAAAAACACCTACAACTATTTGATTTGTATTCAAAACAATTACTACTAATTAACTTGATGGTAATGATAGGAAATCAGAATATCTCTTTGTGGTCTTCACTCTTAATCCTAAAAAAGATTTCTATTAAAAGCCCGTCAAGATTTGGATTTGGAATAAGTTACACCCTCCGTCCATTTTTAATTATAAAATATTAGTCAAATTTTTTATTGTTTGACTTTAAAAAAATAAAATCATAATACTTAAAAGTAGACGGAGAGAGCAATTACCTTCCTAAAATGACAATGACTATGGAAGGAATGGACAATGGTTTTGATTATATGATACAGTAATAAAATTAATTCTTGAAATGCCCTTGTCAAATAAATCCAAATAACATATAGGTTTTTAATTAGTTGTGCATCTAAATTCAATCATTTACATTATATTATACAAATTTAGTCGAAGCAAAGGTGCATGTAATATAGAGTAGTAGGTATTTATCATTGTTATAGCAAATACTAGTTGTCAATTTAAATTAGAGAATTAATTATCATTTTCCAACTTTGTCCTTAACATTAATTATTTTAGAATTAAGAGACACATATATAGATAAAGATTTAAAAATTAAAAATGAATATATTGATCAAAAAACACTCCTTATTAAATTTTTTCTTAAGAATTGTGTCAAATCTTATCATGACAACTAAAAAGGAACGAATAGAGTATTTTCTTTTTCCATATTTTATCCTTAGCATTAACTATTTGTTCTCAAATCACTTTTCAAGCAATAATACTAAAAATTAGGAGTAATTAGTATGATAAAATAATCATTTCAATTATTATTTCTTAAAGAGCGTGTCAAAGTTAACCGGAAGAAATAATTGTTGTTGCAATGCACGTGGTTTTGCATAAACATAAATAGGTAGGTGTCCCTAGAGAAAAGAAGACAACTTGTCAAAAGCCAACTCTACTAAACATTAGTAGTAGGATGAACCATAGGTGACCCTTAAAGTTGACATTAATTTTCATTTAAAAAACTTTAACTAGACTCAATTTATTTTAAATACTTTCTATCATGTCTCACGAGAGAAGGTCCAAAATAGTTCCTCATCTTTGGGTTAAGACTCAATATCATCTTTGAGTTTTCACATGGAGCACTAATAGTCCCTCATGTGTTGCAATATTGGTGCATTTTTGGTCCTCTCCTAAACTTTTGCCTTATTTTTAACAAATGTTGTTCATAATTTTATGTAAGGAATGACCCATCATCTTTTTATATATTTAGTAGAAATAATAACTCTATGTGAGAGAAGGTGAGAAGAAGAACATCTTGTTTTGTTTAATATAAATATTATTGCAGTTAAACTAATAACATTTTAACATATGACATTGCAAGAGAAGAAAAAATTGTACTATTGTACGTGAAATCGTCGTGATGAACCTCTTGACTTTACCTGCAATACGATTTTTACTAAACAAAATAAGGTATTTTTCTTCTCACAATCTCTCACATGGAGTTATTATTTCTACTAAATATATAAAATGACGATTAAACATTCCATAGAAAAATTATGAATAAAATCAATGTTAAAAAATAGGCAAAATTTTGAAGGAGGACCAAAAGTGCATCAATATTGCAAACATGAGGTACTATTAATGCTCCTTGTGAAAACTCA